AAATCTTGCAATATCCATTTCAATGTATCCACTACCACACACTCTTCAGGGTCTTTATTGCAAAGATCAACATTTTCAAGAGAGCCTGCAAGTAAAATCATTCATTCATTTTTTCTTTTAATTTTTAATGGAAAAATGTGAAGTAACGAAATGAGTCATAATTTGCCTATTTAATAAATATTTGATTACCAGGTACCTTTTCTTATGAGAAACAATATAATTTCAGAATATTCATCAAACCATAGAATTGAAGTTTTGAGGCAAAAAGATCCAGAAAGATCTCACTCTCTAGGTGTTCCAAGTCCAAAATCTGACCATTCAATTTGTGCTTCTCCACAATCATTAGGAACCCCTTCAAACAAATCTAGATATATAAGTGAGCACATTGGTAATTATTATTCATTTATTGAGTTTGAACTTTATATTGATGGATTTATACAGCATTTCAATCAACTGAAGGAACAAAACAAGTTGATCATTTCTCTGTTGAACAAACGAATTGATGAAAATGTTGTTGAGGCCAGATTACCTGATAATCTACCTATTCAATTGCCTGTCAGAAATCAAAATGATGTTACTCTATTAGAGGAGTATCTTGCGAATCCAAAGAACATTGATTTATTGGTTAGTTCAAATTTTAGCTTCTCAACAGATTGCTCAATATTTTTTTTTTTTAGATTTCATATTTTTCTACCAAAAGTGGAAAAGTATTTTCACTGATGCTGTTGCAAGTAATTTCAGTTTTTTTGAAAAAAGGTTAGACAAGAAACCTTTCTGTGATACTAAAACAAAAACTTTGGTAGTTGGTAAGTGTACCATGTTCATGTTCAATTACTTAGATTGAATAAACAATTGATTCTAAATTTCGAAAATACGAGACTTTATTTTAGTAGAATATTTATTAACTTGATTTTTCGTCAGAATTTTCCATATACTATAGTTAACTGTGTTACTCATATAAATACATTTGTTTTTTTTCAAGGGGCAGTAAAAAAAATCAGGGAAGGAGGATTATGTGATTGAGGACATAATGAAAATCTGGTTGAAGCATGCTCCACAACGCATGAAAAACTCAAAATCCAAGAAGATTTCGGATAATTAGAGTTGAGGACGCAGATAGTAAGGGAAAGCCTTTCCTTTTCAATGAACACCAGAGGAAAAACATCTGATGGTAGCCATTTGGAATTTATTTACTTTTTTATAATTCATTAGAAGTTTATTGTATTTAGTATCTTTGAAAATGTCAAACTTCAACTATTACAAAGGATGTGTGTGGACACGTCAAAGGTATAGACGAGTGGCAAACGAAGTTGGAAGTACACTTCATGGTATTGACAGTCATACTGTTGATGATAATGAGGCTTCTACATCAAATCCTAGTAAAGCACCCCTTGATTGGGAATTTTCTGCAGAATTGAATCAGTTGACACAGTATGAAAATAAAATGTTTAATGGTTCTATCATCATTGATGAGGATTCTTCTGAAAATTATTCAAATCATGAGGACACTCATTTTGATGGATATATTCCTCTTCTCCAGTCAGGATCAGATGATTTAATGCTTGAAGAGAAATTTTCTGAAAATAATATTTCAACATCTGATACTCCTATAATCAATGAAAGGGTTTCCTCGTAGAATGACATCAATTCAGTATTGGGGCAGTGGGCACTGCAAAATAAAGTACCACATTCTGTATTAAATGATCTTCTTATCTTGCTATCTCCGTTTCATCCAAGTCAACCATTAAATTCAAGAACTCTTCTGAAGACTCCAAGAAGTCGTATTCATTTCAAAAAATTGAATAATGGTGATTTATGTTATTTTGGACTTGAAGAATATTTGACACGTTTTTTGTCCACATAAAAATTGAACAGTGATAAAGTTAGACTTTCTTTTAATATCGATGGATTACCTTTATATCATAGTTCTGCTGTACAGTGTTGGCCAATTTTAGACCTCATTAAAAATAATGGTGTGGTAATCAGTCCATTTGCGATATCCATTTTCTGTGGCAAAACAAAACCATCTCCACTGTCTTCCTTCTTCGAAGATTTTATAAATGAACTCAAGCATTTGATGAATAATGGCTTAGTTCATAACAACAAAAATTATAAAATTGAAATTCAAAATTTTATCTGTGATGCTCCAGCACGAGCTTTTATCAAGTGTGTTAAAACTCACAGTGGATATTCTGCATGAGATAAGTGTGTTGAGGAAGGTGATTACATTAATGGAAGAGTGATATATAGAGGGACTTCAGCACAAAAACGAACGGATGAGTCATTTTTATCACAGCAGGATCAAGAACATCACACAGGTTTATCACCTCTATTAGCTTTGGAAGTTGGTTTAGCCAGTCTTTTTCCTATCGACTATATGCATTGTGTTTGTCTTGGTGTTATGAAGAAACTTCTTCTATCTTGGATTAAAGGAAATTTGAAAGTGAGATTGAACAGCAGGCTAGTTACAACTATTTCTAATCATTTAATTGATATGAAAATTTCTATTCCAAATGATTTCAACATGAGGCCCAGATCCTTAAATGAGTTAGCACGCTGGAAAGCAACATAATCCCGCAAGTTATGTATATAAAACCCTCCTTTATGCTTATTCATCAAATGCTGACTAAGTTATAATAAACTTATAAAAGCTAGCCATCTTGAAGGAGGAGTCAGTTCTGTTAGTACGATTGTCAGAGTAACTTCTGTACAATAAAGTCTGTAAATCTAAATAAAGTCTTTTAAAAAGTGGTTCCCGTGTCCCGAAACTATAATTCGCACTTTCTTGTATTTGGGTCCAGTGGTACTCAAAGATATTGCTGATGAAGCTGTATTCAAGCATTTTATTCTCTTTCACTGTGGCATTTCAATTTTAGCTTCTGCTAGAAATATTTCAACTATTGGCATTGAATTGGCCAGAGAAATGTTGAATATATTTGTTAATCACTCTGAGCAAATATATGGTCTGGAATTTCTGGTATATAATGTACATATCATCTCCCGCTTAACTGATGATGTGGAAAAATTTGGGCCTTTAGATACCTTTTCTGCCTTTCCATACGAGAATTTTTTAGGACAGATTGAAAAATCCATTCGTTCTTCTAGAAAACCACTAGAACAGATTTATTGTCGCAAAACAGTTACATATATACCTCATAGATGTCTATTAGACTTGGAAATGTGGAGTGTTGATAACATACTAACAAAATGTTTTGTTTTATCTTTTAATGATGGAAATTCTGTGGTGTCGTTTCCCTTACTTCATGATCATCGTTAATATGTGTTTATTTTTATTCAATATAAAACTATATTTGATACATTTATCTCTTTTCCTTTTAAACTCACTTTTTCGAGAGATCACATTGAGATACCTATCTTTGTTACAGATGTTGACTAATATATTACTGTCAAAATATGAATTGATTTTTTGTTTGTTGAATTCATCATGTGTCATTGACGCTGTTTCCCATGATTCTAAGTAGGTAGCTAATTTTATTTATTGTTATTGTATTATAAAATCTCAAGAAAAAAAATTTTGATTCATTCAAACTTTTCAATATATTGTTTTATACAGATTTGTTTTATTTTCTTTCAATATATTAGTGATTGTTTAGTGAGAGGAATTATTAGTTCCTACGTTATATTTTGGATGTGTACCAAACGACCTTTTGACGTGAATTGAGATGTAATTCGACGTCACTTTTGACGTAAATCTACGTCAATTCTGACTTAAAAATGACGTCTCTTTGTGACGTATCTGGGCTGTGACAATGTGACGACATTTTAACGTGATATTCACGTCAATTGAAATGGTGATAAAGACGTAAGCACTGGCGTAAAAAACACATCATAACGACGTTTCCTGGCTACCTGGGAAGTTGGAAAAATCTGGAGTTCATAAGCTTAAGTGTCCGGAGTGTAATAGTGTTTATCTGGGACAATGCGGAAATTTCCAAAAACGGTATGCTGAACATGAAAGGTCCTTCAGACTAGGAAAAAATGATTCTACGTTTCAAACCATTCCTGAGCATGCAACCACAAATTTCCGAATCTAAACGATACGGAAATTCTGCACTATACAAGGAAGAGTTGCAAACTCAATTATTTAGAATCTTTGGAAATTTACAAGCATAAAAATTGCGGGTGCAACCTGTTCAATGATCAAATCGATTTAATTTACTCTCCGATTTTTAAAATTGGCACATTCGCATTGTGAACTGTGAATTCAGGTACTTAATCAAGTACCTGAATGGTATATATTGGCGAATGTAAGGAGTCCATATAGGACGAAACTGCAGTAACGTTAGTTGCAATTAAAAGTGGTAAAAAACATAGAAATTTTCATTTTTTTTATCATTATGATCTCCTACCACGTAGTAACGGCTACATCCATCAATTTATCAATTTATGGAGAATCTGAATTCATTTCAGATTAGGACAAATTCAGAAGTGACATATTGAACAACGAATGGATTATACAGTCAGATTGCCCCGAGGGGCAAAAAACGATCCATCTTCCGAAATACCAAAATATCAGAACCGCTAAAAAATATAGAAAAATTTATTCCAGTAGTTCGTCGTAACAAAAACTATAAATCAAATGAGAACAATAAAATCCAAGCAGAGAAGATTATTGTAGATGCAGATGCCATTCATTCAGAAACAAATTATGGGTAATTAGGTTACTCGTCTCTTTCTCCCATATGTTCGAAATCCACTTCACTTGCACACCAGGAATGACAATCGACACCTTGAGTTTCCTTGAAGAAACCAGTACCAGTACTAATTTGAAAAATATTCATTGAACTGACGTTGTAATCCACAACACAATCTTAAATTTTCAGGTCAAGTTAACAAACTTCCCTTCCATTAATTCATCGTTTTTTTCTTGATTTACAATACTTGCATGCACTAACGATTCCAATTATAATGGTTCGGCAAAATTTCATAATAAATGTGACATAATTCATGTAGAAATAAATGCATTGTATCTTTTACAGACAACCTTCTCCTCGAAGAATACCGCCACCACCAAGGTAAGTTTTGATTTAATGGGCTTTTAAAATTGAGTGAAAGTGATGTATAGTTCTACCAATGATATGAATCTTGACGTGTTTTAAATCCAATCGAATTATAATTATATAATTATCATTATCGTATTAACAGATATTTTATAATCCCAGCTACTTTAGATTCAATCGCATCAAACAGTGCATTCCAGTTCATTCACCACGACAGTAACTTTAATGAATTACATTACTTTCTGAATTCAATGATGAGCTAACAAATGATAATGACGAATATTTCACGGAACAACATATGAAACTTTTTTTGGAAAAAAAAATGTGTCATTCATGACTTGTTTATTTTGTGGTGATTCTTGATCACTTCAATGAAATGAATAAAAACACTTTTGTCTAATTACCGCTAGTTTCTCAAATACGCAAGAAGTAATTTTGTATTGGACATTAGGAAAATATTAAAGATATGTCACCAACTGAAAACTAACAAATCGAAGCGTTGGAGCCATTTTAATAATATCACTTTTGTACTTATAAAACTGTTACAGACATTGTATATGCTTAAAAGATTAATATTTTAAGTGCGAATGAAATTTTATTGATAAATATATAGCCTATTATTAGTGAAATTTAAGCGCACCAATCTTTTGTTGAAATTTTTGGAAAAAATTATTAATTATACAAAAATTCACTCTGTCGACGTTTTAATTTTCTAGTCGCAAATTAACTTTGTTTGTTCTAAATAATATAATCATATAATATCTATATACTTTTCATCTGTAAATATCACTCACAATATGTGCCGTAAATATCTGTAAATATCACTCAACTCATCTAATGGCAGTATTCCGAATTGCTATCATTTTAAAATGGCGTCGTTCTATAAAATAATTTGGTATCAATAGCAAGAGTTTTAATATGTTTAGCTTCAATGTTACCACTATAAAACTGTTAAGAAACACTTAGTTCTAGGAGTGATGGTATTGCGACAGAGTTGGACTTCTTTTGAAGTTATAGATTACTATAAAAATGAAGACAGGATTCCTCACGTATTGTTTGGATGAATATTTTCTGTCAGGATGTTTTGGCTAAGAAGCTTCTTTCATCCATTATAAAGGTTGAATTTCAAAGAAGTGTTGAGCTAGTGATTTGAATGTATATAAATATGGTGCTCCACTCAAATCGACGGATTTCAATCATCAACATCCTTATTCTGTTTTCAGCAAGAACAAAATTGAAACACTAGGTAACGTGAGTCTTAGTCTAAAACGAACCACTTTTCCTAATTTTTTTCCAATGACCAATATTACACGACGTTATTAGGTATATATGTATTGGAATGCTAGTCAAATAAAACTGACACGACCTCTAAAATCAATGTTAACTGATTCTTCTCAAATGCTGCATTTTATTCTTGGCGACAGCAAATTTATAGAAGCGGAAGCAATTTGATTTTATAACAGTTATTTTATCGTTTTGGAATTGTAGTAAATATATCATACTATGAAATATTCGAGAAACTATCATTGAAGTGACAATATGGTAATGAAAACAAAATTGTGTCTGAAAGCAGTCCAATGAAATAATTTTATTAAGGCTACAGGAAGCAGTTATAAAATAATTTCGAAATAGTTTTATAAAAAACATAAAAACCTCACAGAAAAGTACTATGAAACTGCTACAAAACAATTTACTTCAACAGGAAACTAAGTTAATTGTAAAAACGTTTCTGTGATAATTTCACGACTATTTTATAACGGATTTTTCATTTTATTTTATAAACGTTTCCATGGCAAATTTATGAAACAATTCTATTGCTCACAACTGTATTATGTTCACGGCTCGTCTAATATAATTAATTAGCATTTTGGAAGTAATTATAAAATACCAACGAAATACAACTGTTGCAGCACTATGAAATTATAAAACAATTTTGTTGGTTGGAAGGTAGTTGAACGAAACAGGGTGGGTGCGAACTTTAAAATTTGACTCTGAAGATTATAGGGGTTGTTGAACTTATAAATTCAAGAATGGAGACCTACATAAATCGAGTTGCTCGTTTAGGGGTACATATTTCCGGTTTTCAATTGATTTGTTAATTTCTACGGCTTCCGAAAAACTAATTTTCCTCTCTTCATTACATATGTGTAGAATTTTGAGCTTATCTTTACCTATTTTGTGAATTAGTCCTTGAAGATGTTCAAACATTGTAGATTTTTTGTTCAAACAGAAGTGTTCACGGAGCCTTACGTCAAAATTTCTTCCGGTTTGGCCTGTATATACTGCAGAGTATTCGCCACAATTTATTTTATGTATATACCTGATTTTTCATTCTATCTCGTTTGGGTTTTGCATTAAACAGAGTTCTGCCTGAATTATAATCACTCATGAAAGCTATTTTTATTTTGTATTTAGAAAAGTAATTTTGAATATATTCTGAAAGTTTACCTGAGTAGTTGATGCTACTACACGTAAGTATATTGTTTTCTCTGAAGTTGGTGTATAGTTTACTCATAAGTGTTTCATTAGTTTTATCTGATATTGTCTTTTCGATTAGAGAAACTGGTACCTGATTGTTTACTGCAATTCGTTTAATTATTTTCAGTTCATCTTGGAAATTCTTGTCGGGAAAAGGTTTTGCGAAAGCTCTGTACCATCGACGTGAACGCGGATAACTTATGTAGAGTGGACTGAAAGAATCAAAGGGAATTGTACAGTCTATAAACGTGTTTTCCGGTAGATATTGAATTGAAAACCATTATCAACTATAAAAATATTCAAATCTCAGAAGTTAGGCTCCATGTTTCATTCGATTTCTACTGTGAATTTAATTTCGTTATGCAGACTATTGGAAAAGTTTAAGAATTGATTAATTTGTCTGTTTGAACCATTAAAACCAACCAATACGTCATCAACATATCTGAACCAAAACACAATATGTTTCTGAGGAAGGTACACTCTTGAATTTATAAATTCAACAACCTCTATAATCTTCATTGTCGAATTTTAAAGTTGGCACTTTGGTTCGTTCAACTACCCCTCCATCCATCTTACCTAAAAATTCCCGATAAAACTGAGTTTTCAAATTTCACATACATATCAGTTTTACACTTGATTATTGGGTCACAGTATTTTGTATACAGTAATTTCATAAAGGCTGATTTGTGGTTTGAATTTTCCTACGCGCAGACCCACGCGTCGATGTCTTAGGTCTGCGCAAACGACGAGTTTAAGACAGGCATGCAATCAAAGCGTTTAAACACTGCTCAACATAACAAATATTCATATAAACTGCTCAAAAAAATTCAGTCGATGAAAACCATGTTGGGCACCTAAGAAAATTGTACAAATGATAATTTTGCATTTGTGTAATATTCAAGTAACCCAGATCATTTCGACAATGAAGAACTATGTTTCAAGTAGATTTTAAAAATTCATGGGATCGGATGTGACAAAATATACTTTAATTTCAACAAGAAAAAAGACAAGATGAAGAACGAGTTTTGTTATTCATGAACCATGGTACTGTGCAAGAGCTCTCTAGGAGGAATAACGAGTCCCTGTGTGTATACAACCGTGATAGCATGGTCTGCACTGATGAGGAACACTTCAAAACGGTTCGCAGTTGGTTCCTTGTTCGAATCAGGCGAAGTCCCACTATTTGTCCTAGAGAGCTCTTGCAAAGTTGTTTCTTCAACGTGAGAATCTTTGCAATTATGTCTGAGGCGACTTGGATTCCGAAAGGTTAACAGTCGTAAGGTATTTTTGATAGTCAAATTTACATTATATAAGAAGTTGCTGACTAATAGGACATGTTTCATTTAGAATAACTGTTTTTAATCTACGCAGCAACTTTTCGGGGTTGATTAGACATCTAGACTTGTATAGATTCAAATATCAACATTTGTCAATATATGTCGAGTTATTAGCTAAAGAAGTAGTTGTTTTCTGTCGGAAAACATATATAATGGTATAGTCAAAATGCATTTGGACTTGTCAGTGATTTTATTATCAATTTTTACTTGGATAAAAGCTGGAAGCAGCAAAACAACCTATTATCTTACAGTGTAAATAATTCATAACTTCCGACTCCAAAACTCTCACATACATTTATAGTTAGTACATACATACAAAAAAATTATTTTTGTATGATTGAACACTACATACTTAATTACTTTTTTACTTCTTCAAGTCCTGAATAGTAACTACATAATTCAGAAAGAATAGGCTCTACAGATTCCTTAATCTTGAGTGATGAATTCGATTAGGAATATTTTTAATAATTGGTCCTTAATATAATCGAATCGGCAAACTCGTCCGCCATCTTGAATTCTCCAATCAATAAATGAATATGCTATATTTGGCCCCAAAAATCACTACAAAGAAATTTCGCATGGATTCGTACCATGGTTCATGAATAACAAAACACGTTCTTTATCTTGTCTTTTTTCTTGTTGAAATGAAAATATATTTTGTCACATTCGAATATGAACATCTGCCGATTCCATGAATTTTTAAAATCTACTTGAAACTAATTCATCATTGCCCAAATGATCTGGGTTACTTCGATATTACACAAATGCAAAATTATCATTTGTACAATTTTCTCAGGTGCCCAACATGGTTTTCATAGACTGTTTTTTTTTGAGCAGTTTATATGAATAGTTGTTATGTTGAGCAGTGTATACACGCTTTGGTTGAGATTGTAGTAGGGAGAAATGTCATTAGTGTCAAATACGTCATCATATAAAAAATGAAACTCCTGGACACTGACATCAAAGGGACCGACGCTGAGTGAAACTACTGTATACAGAAATACTGTGATTGGGTTAAACCCGACCAGTCGTATAAATAAAATCAACTAGTGGTAATTAGACAAAAGTGTTTTTATTCATTTCATTAAAATTTGGAAAAAAAACTATTTGGGTTTCTACCTCTTCATCACGGAACCGGTGACATATTACATTTGTACGAGTTGTACGAGTCCGGAATATAAACGGGTACCTAGTGTAACA